AGTTTGTCCGTGACATTCTCCCCCACTTATTCCTTCGACGTCCTCGTTGAAGCCTTTGTCGACACTGTAACTCCTCGCCTTTGCTGAGTCTTCAATCTTCTGCTCCAGCTACAATGCGCCTCTTGGCTCCTAGTTGCTCTCCGCTGCTGCTTTTGAGTAGTCGAACCTTTGATCCGTCATGCTGCTTCAACTCACCAATGACTTTGACTCTGGTGTGGGGTTGGCTGAGTTGTGTTGATCCTTGTTGATTCATGCGGATCCCCCAGATGAAGGAAAAGACCATCCTTACTGTGCCAGCCTCTTAAATTCCTCATGCTGCTTGAACTGGGTGGATGCTTGTTGGAGCGTTAACAAGCATCGTCTCGCAAACTTCTGAAGTTTTGGGTCCTTCCTCCACAAAATTTGCTCATTGACTCTTCTTTCACTTAGTTGTCACATCCAAGTAGGTTCGCATCACTTTCGCTTTCGATTGACATTTCGTTAGGAAATGAAGCGGACAATCTACTCTCAGTAGCACTGATCACCGTTGGTGAGGATTTGACAACTATTGTCTTCCATTATCTTCGAAGGGTCTTTGAACTTGTGCAGAGCTCCTCTGCTGGATAGATAAGAGAATTGGGGTACTCGATTTCGCCCATTCTCTTAAGAGTTGAGAAAGCAAAGGTTACTTGACTTCGCCCGCCTCCCCGAGGTTGTACTCAATGCATCGAGCTGGTTACTGGCCTTCGCCTGCTCTTTGCTCACATTTCTAAAGCACTTGAAGTGTTTGCACTCCTTGCGTTGAGTTAGTTACTGTGATTCACCTTCTCAATGCCATCGAACTTCTGGAATGCAGGAAGTTTTCACCCCCAACTTAGAGTAATTCTCTTATAGGTTTGGTCGCCTATGGGATTGTACCGTCTTCTCCATCAACCCTGTCGCCTACTCCACTGAGTAGCAAAGGTACAGCACCGTGTACTGCCTGCTTCGTTCCTTGGTTATGCACTCTTGCATGACCCGAAGTCCTTCACTTTCGGCTATCTTGATGAGAAGCACATTGACACCGGTCTTACGAAGTTCCTTGGTCTCTGCCCTTCAGCCTTGTGTCGGTACCTAGAGATTGCCTCTGCATGCTCCACCTCCTCGGTCCCTTTCACGACCAAGTGCTCTCCCTCCATGAGAGCAAGGGATCAATGACTTTCACGGAAGTCCCACCTCTGCGGTACCATGGCGTTGCCATGCCCATGGCACTATTATCCGTCGCCTTGCATCTACATCCCTTTTCTTCACAATCAGTAGATATGCCTCCGTGACACTCCTTCGAGTCCACCTCCATTCTAACTGATTGCTTGATTTTGGGTAGCTAAGTCCCTTTGGACTCATCGTCGCTTCCTCGCCCCTTTCGACCCCCTGCTTCAACACCTCTGTGTTCTCCAAGCAATCCGTTTGGTCGATGGAAAGACATACTGCAACTCCCATGCATGGCCTCTGCCATCATGTTGTAGGGTTTGCACCGATTCTGTTCTCCTTAGCTTCCTTGGTAGCAACGTTCGCTTACTCGGCCTTGTCCTCTGACTTGCCGGGCTCCCTTAAGTGAATATGAGCTCTGGAGCAGTCCAACTCTCCAGCTGCTTCGATCATACCTCTGCATGATCAAGTCCCTCCCATGGGACTCACTAGTACTTGCATTCGAACTTTTCCCTTAGTGGAACACAACCCCCATATGCTGATGACCAAGGTTTTCATCCGATGCAAAATTTGATGCACGCCTGGAAGACCCGCCTCTGCGGTACCATGGCCTTCACTCCTTGAATCCATAGCCCTTCTTGTCGTCGTGTTGTTCACCGAAGTGGAGCTTCCAGTATCTCCCGATCATACCTCCATATGATCTAGTCCCTCACGGGACTATGTCGTGTGTATCGTATTGCCACGAACTGTTCCACCACGATCCGCTGCACCATGTCGCCTCCTGGTGACATCTCCATTGCATTCTGATCTTTGTGGAATAAATTCGAATTGTGAACCCTCAATGTGTGGCCTTTGCTAATACATCGCAGGGTCTCTTCCACCTTCGATTTTGTTCGCTCCTTTGGCAATCGACCTTTATCCACCCACTCTTGGGTCACACCTAGATGAAGCACTGCTCTAGGACAGTCTGTCGCCTAGTAACTCCCGAAGTCCACCGACTTCACTGTAATTTGTGCACCATTATCTGGATCCTCGGCCTCTGCCCCTACCAGCACAATCTCCGCTGTGCACTGCTTCCTTCATTGCAACTTGAATGGCAACACTGTGGCATATTCTTCAAGAGTACCCACCTCTGAGTCCTCTTGCCCCGTGCTAAGGCCTTCTGAACCCAATTTCACCTCCGCAAATTGAGTCGCCTTAGTTCCTCCATCAAATGCTTCTCCGAGATAAGGTGCATGTGTCCAGAAGCTCCCTTCGTCTTTGGCACCATGCAAGATGAGTTCGCTCCGTCAGAATGAAGGACCCATGGAACAACATGATCATACTCTTGCCTCTGCAAGAGTTCATATCCTTGACCTCTATCTAAGGAAAGCACTGTGCCTCTGCTCCATGTTCCAACTTCTATGCTGGCTCCCTTTATGCGGCTTGGGTACTTCGCCAAGTTACACCCAAGTTGCTCCGCTCCTCGTTTTTGCATTGAGTCGATGGTGGCCCTCGCGCCCACCATTCCACGGATCAGCCCTCCCTTGAGTCCGATCTCCACATCGACTCCAAGTGTGCTTTCATTTGTGTTGCTTTGGGTCGCTCCCCCACTTGATCTCGCAATGCATCCACCAATGCATTCTCTCAAGCGAGATCATGCGACGACTCCTCGTCGCTTGCTCAATCCATCGAGCTTCGTGGAGTTGTTGTTTGTTGAGGTACTCCTCCTCAACATGTGAGGTCCGTCTCACATGATTCTCCCTCTGGAGAGCGGGGACTTATCCCTCCTGGATAACTATCCCGTTGGAGCAACATCTCTCTTCGTTTCGGAGACCACCATCCCCTTGGACTACTCCGATCTACTGAACAAACTGTACATTGTTCTGCCTCCTGCAAACGCACTTGCTAGATTGCGACTCCCCGTCAATACAGTCCCCGCTGCACCCCTCAATGCCTAGTAACATGCTGAACTTGTTGCACACTTCAGCCTCCTACAGACGTATCCTTCACATGCCGAAGAGAAAGTTTCAATGCTCCATGGCGCCGAGTTTCGATCGCCTTAGGATGGCCACGAACATTCCATCGTCCGCATACAAGCCCATGCATGAGTACCAAATTCTTCGAGTTAGCAATTCCCCTCACCTCTATGAGCTTTGCAGAACTCTTTTGGTCGTTGAGCAACTCATTCCACCTTGGATGGTCTCATCCTTTACCAAGTGCCTCGCTTGGCTTGAGCACCATCAAGTATAGTTGTCAACGTTGAGCCGCAGCTCAAATTCAGTCATCCCAACCTTTGTGCGCTCCACATTCTTCCAAGCTTGCCTGATCTCGTGGTGCCTCTTGCGCGAAGGGTTGGCCATTCCTCTGAATGCCAATCTCAGATGCCCGCTCCTCCGAGCGACTCCTTTTCCCTACATCTTCATGCCCGTTTTCCCCCAAACGGTCGTGCGTGTGCTAACTGCCCTCAACGCAGCCCCGCTAGGTCCCCCACGTTTACATGCTAAGTGTTTCTACGAGTGCTTGTCCCGCTCTGATACCATCTGTCACGGACTTAGCTGGATTTGCCTAAGTCGTGCGGCACCCTTGCGTGTCCGTCCGCAAAGGTCAGCCTCCCTGAAGCCTCCCATTGTCCTTTAGGACCAACAAAAGAGAAAACGGGTTAGAGAGAACGCCTAAATCGGGATCCACAAGCAAACATCTCCGAAAAACACTTCATAGACAATGCAAATTACAAACCGACTTTACAAGCTCTGAACAATGGCACAACAAAGGGCAAAATGGTCCATTACAGATCGAAAATCTCTCGCACGTGTCCACATGACACAACCTTTATTTACAAGCCTAAAGAGGCCACCAACCAAACTAAAATGGGACTATTAAGCCTTCGGTCGCCCCTCTACATGTTGTACAAGGCATGAACATGCCAAAAGACACGGACATACATAAGCATTACATCAAACACCTTGTTTAAAAGTTTGTCCGTGACAGGGAGGTGAGGTAAAGGCTTTGTATCTCATTGACGCAGGTGTAGAGAGCGTAACGACGTGATGTGAGTCAAAGGGAGAGGAGAAAGAGGATGAAGACGATGGTTGTCTTGCATCTGCATCAACGGGAGGTCATGCATCTGCATTGGCATCGCGTCGCTTTACATCTACGTCAGTGCGACGTAAGGTTTTTTGCTTCACCTCTCGTCGATGAAGATGCCTCATTTGGAATGTTAAAATTATCTTTTTGGTCATTGTTTTTGTGTTATTCTTGCACAATCTTTCGTTGGTCAAATTGATGACGTTAGAGTAATTAGGATTTAATTTTTTTTTATAATTATAAAAATTTTAATATAAAATTTTTAAATATAAATTTCGACATACTAAAAAGATCTAATTGCAAGAGTTAATATGTAATTAGCTTGTATATTTTCTCAAGTGGATGATAAAAATATTTTTACACATAAAAAATTAAATTGATTAATTTGTCTTTTAATTAATATATTATAATATTTTAGATTTTTTTTATAAATTAGGTATAAGAATAAAAAAGTAAAATATTAAATATTAAAAAAAATAAAATTGAATCAAATTAAATTCATGATATTTTTAAGTAATATTTATGACTTTATTTAGAAACAATTTTTCTTACTTGATGAAATTTTTATTGATAAATTTTTCTTCGTTGAATTGATGTTAACATATGATAACTTATAAATAAATCAACTAAATATTTCTAGACTGATCAAATTTATCTTATGAATGAATCAACTAAATTACTTCTATATTAATTATGTTCATTTAAAATAGCAGTGGGATGCAAATTGACTAGTATATTAAAAAAATAATAAAAAAAGTCCGCTAGTGTTAAGCCTTTAATGATTGATGAAGATGCCCTTTGTTTAATTTTTTTTTTTTTTGTAGGTAGAACAGACTTATGCAGTTAAACTTGGGCTGTTAGGTAAAAATACTATTGGCGTGCGTTTGCTTAGAAGTTCTCCTTGTGGAAGTCGAACTTTGTCGTGGTCTTGTGCGAGAAATCCTGCGCCAGCTGCCGAAGCTCTTTCACCAGTGTCGGTTTACCGCAGTAGAACACACCTGCAACCACACCATATTTGGAGATGTCCCAAGTTTTGGAGGCTTGCCTTAATTCAGTGGCCAGCGCGTACCTATGCGTTGGTCGGGGTGGTTGAGCGCGATCCGCTTGTAGACATTGCGCCAGTTGGGGCGGGCAAAGTGGGACTTGACGCGGGTGCCCGCCACCACGTCCACCCCGTGCTTGGCGTAGTTGAGGGACTGCAGCATGGCGATGAGGGCGGCGCGGGCATCGCCCTCCTCGTACACGCTGGTGCAGTAGTTGTGGAGCTCGATGACGCCCTGCGCGTCCGCCTCCGCCACCTCGTCCATCACCCCCCTGAACCACTCGAACGAGTCCTGCTCCCGTGTCACCCAGTAGAAGTAAGCCCGCCGCGTTCTGAACGAGTTCGCCTCCGTCGAGGACCGGCCGCCGCCGCCCTCCTCGACGTCCCGCTGCTTTATGTTGTTGAGGATGTCCTTGACGATGCTGATGAAGGGGGTGGCGCCGATTGCCAGCCCCACCAATAGCACCACCTCGTACTTCTCGTAATCTTGTGCCGGCGCGCCGTATGGCCCGTCGATTAGCACTCTTGGGAAGCTGTGGTAACAACATCAAACAGCTCGTCAACGATACCTTCTTATCGTCCTCCCACCACCACCCCAAAAATACCTTCTTGCCCATGGCGGAGACCTCCAACTCACCTTGGACTCACTCCATCGTCGCTGCCGTCATTGATGTCAGCTCTCAGCCGCCCACTTTTCCCAGCGGTCGATGGCTGACACGCCTGCGAAAACCCAAGCTCGTGTTACCATCACAATCTTGGAATGCCTTCGCCGCCTACACTGAAACAGGCAAAGCAATCCACACCTTGGAGAACACCTCTATCAGCTGACTGGTCCAGTCGCCCGCCGACCGTATGTGGACGCTGATGTAGTCGTCTTGCGGAGCCGACGTGATGGAGAACGGATGCCTGTTTCAGAGACACAAGTAAGAGAAGCTGATTCAGAGGCACAATAATCATCGTTCGATGAGATAGGATGCGTACCATTGGAAGGGGGAGACAGCGGCGCAGTTGACGGTGATGTACTGCCCGCTTCGGTACGTGAAGCCCGGTGGCTTGGATACATGGAGAGCCAGCACGTTGCCCGGGTACACCGCCACCTTTAGTATCTTCACCACTTGGATCTTCGACCTCATCACCTTCGTCAGCCGCTCGCTCGCGTAGAGGACCACCGGGATCGCCACATACATCCAGGTCTGGCCATCCATGGCGGCATCCATAGATGTTAGGGGCGGCGTGATATGAGATGAACAGAGGCTTTGCAGGTGCATACCGTTCTCTTGTACCATTTCTTGGTGAGATAGAGGAAGTAGCCGTGGATGACGAGGAGGACGTAGACGATGACGAAGAGGTGGTGGGAGTACCAGAAGGCGTCGTAGCCGGTGAGGCGGTGCAGGGGCTTGGGCAGGCTGATGGCGCCGCGGCGGAACCAGGGGGTGGCGAGAATGAAGGCCACGGCCATCAGCACCACCATGGCCACCCCCGTCCACCCCTCCGTCCCCTTCACGAACCACCAGTAGTCGCTCGGCCGGGCGTCCCCGAAGAAGGGCTTCATCGGCTCGTACTCCGCGTCCGTCGCGTGAAGCAGCCGCGGGAAGTCGCACGTCAGGTGCGCGATCGCGTGCAGCCCCAAGCCCACTGCGATGCCCGCCGCGATCACCTGCGTCCGCGGAGATCGAGTCACTTCTCACGTTGAGATCGAGCTGTTGTTTGGTATCACTCGGTCTCACATACCTTGTGGAAGCTGAGGCTGTCGTCGAAGGGGAGCACCTTGCCGAGCTTCGTCCTGGTGCGAAGCCAGGTGAGGGCGTTGCGGCAGACGGGGAGGAGGATGAGCGACATGTTGAACTTGAGTGTCTCGGCGCCGCCTTTGGCGACGCAAACGCAGTAGCCCATGACGTGGTACACCGCGCGGCGGCGGTACTGCACGAACTTCCAGGCGAAGAGGGCGGCGCAGACGCAGAGCCACAGCACCACCACCCATACCCGCTGCCAGTAGTCCTCCATGAAGTACTTGGCCCGCTGGTACCACCGCCTGAGCGGGTTGCGCTCCTGCGTCGGATTCAGCCTCTGGCTGAGCAGCTGACTGAGGTTGCGGCTGTTGGCCGTCGCAAGTTGCATCGACTGGCTCGGCGCTTGCACCAGCAGCATCTCCAGGTTGTATATCTGATCACAGTCAACCACACCGTCTCATTCATCGCCATTAACGGCGGTTTTCTTCGTTGATGCAACTCGATGGGCGTTTACCTCGATGTAGCCGACGTTATCTGGGTCCAATTCCTCCATGATGAGGCGGGCGTACTCTTCCGCCTTTTCTTGGATCTTGGAGAGCTTGTTGGCCGAAGCACTCAGCGATATGATCTGCCAAGGTTCCATCATCACGTAGCGAACCATTACCACCGCAGTGCATGAAACTACAGGAATCGAAGTGACCTTCGAATTCTACTCTACCTCTTTGACCTCCTCTTCTGTGATCCTTCCGTCCAAGTCCTTGTCCACCCTGCTTACATCAACGAGAGACATGGTGAGTCTGTTGTTGAGGACTTGTTAAAGAGAGGAGTCGACGTACATGTCGAAGAAGGTCTGGAGGCGGGAATCGAAGCTTTGGTCGGAGATTTGATCCCAGAACTCCCTCAGCTCCGCCTTGGTTATCTTGTCTCCGGTGATGCTTCTCCTCCTCTTTAGTGCGTCGAATAGCTCTCCCGCGAACTCCGACGACTCCTTCATGCCTGCATCATTTTGGGGTGTTTTCAGAAGTTAGAGGTGAAAGAAGACGAAGAAGAAGAAGGATGATAGGTTGGGTACCTATGCACTGGCCGAAGAGGGAGAGGTGGAGGGCGCCGTCGACGGAGAGCCGGTCGAAGCGCTTCTCGACGGCTGGCCATCCGGCGGCGCCGTTGGCCTTGGTTATGAACTTGAGGCCCTTGAGCGCGTGGGCGGCGGCCGACTTGGACCGGTCGAGCCGGGGCGCGGCCGGGCGCTTGGTGAGCGAGGCAAGCTGTCGGAGCTCCTGCGACACCTGCCGGATCCGCGACGACGCGGAGCGGAGCACCGACGACCCGAACGACGCGGATTGCCGCTCCAGCTTCTGCACCAGCAGCGAGACCTCCTCCGGGTCCTCCTCCTTCCCTCCCACTCCACCGGCTGCCGGCTTGACGCTGTGGACCGCGACGCTGTCGTCTGTCACGTCGAGAGTGATCTCCAAGAAGGTCTCGCCGTCGACGGGGGCTGCGGGAGGGGGAGGGAGGTTAAAGCGAGCACTCTTACGGTTGCTGCCGCCGCCGTGCTTATTGAGCGGGCCACTGAAGCCCACCTGGTCGCTGCCGACGCTCTCCGTCTCAACGATGGCAGACGACTGGTGTCCGTCGGAGGCTCCCATCTTTAGCGTCACTCTGCTTTCTCTTCAACTCACGAACCAGACAAGCGAAGTGTCGGTCCACAAGAGAAGGGAAAGGAACGGGAGATTAGGCTTAGGGATGTCCTCGTACTTATGCCCATGAGAACCATCTCGTGGATGCCTCAGGTGCAAAGGGGAGTGGTGGACGTTCATGGTACTTGACGAGGGCGAGTCAAAATGCGTGGCCTTTTGACGTCGTCGATACCTCTCTATCCATGGAAATTTCCTCGGAGCGGTGATCCGGCCACGCGTGTCGCATGCCCGGTGCTTTCAACCAATTGAAGGGCGGCCTCTCGTGTTTTATGACTGCGCCACGACAAAGAAACCCACTTAGCCGAGTGGCTCCACTGGTGCAGCCATGCGTCGGATCAGCACTCAATCAATTGTTATATATATATATATATATATATATATATATATATATATATATATAAAATCTTTGATTCTTGTTTTCAGTTATCTTTTCCTGCTTTGTTTGCCTTCATCCATCCATCCACCCCCCTTTTCTTTCCTACTACTTAATCTCAAAAAGGATCAATTGTTTATGTACATAAATACTTTATATTAATTTGAGCAATATATAGATATATATATATATGTAGGATTAAGTGGGGTCCAAATTTTAGGTATTTTCTTTGATTCGGACCCGTTCCAATATATCTAATGGGTTTAAGGGTTGACCAACAAAATTGCACTCGAATCTTGAACCTTTTTGCTGCTATACCTCAACTATCACCAGTAACTCCACTGGCGATTGAAAGTGGAAGTTAGAAGAGGCGAGGGAAGGGAGAGGAAGGGAGGTTTGATTAACGGTGTAGGTGGCCTTTTCACTGGTAGCCGAACACGCGCCATACTTTCAACGCGTGGTCGACCCACAATAATTTGTGACGTCAGCAATCGGGATGGATGAATGTGTCATACCTGTTTCCTTGGAGGCTGTTTCTTCCTACTCCAGAAGCTCATTCTCTGCGCATGCTCTCTCTGCATCAAGGGATAGAAAATAATAATAATAATAGCTAAAAAATAATAGAAAATAAAACTTGATATTATCAGATTTGCTTTGGACCAAGTAGAATAGTCGCAGGATGAAAAGAATATTTTCAAAATGAAAATTAAATTTTTTTTGTAAATGGACAATGAAATCATACCGAATATAATAACATGTCTAATACCATTGATAGACAAGATGGGAATAACTTAATTTAATTTACTAATTGATCCTTTACAAAGTTCCAGGTTAAGTACAACAAGAAAAAAATTAAAAAATATATATATAATTACATTAAATCAACTATATGATATCATCCGTCCTTTGAAGAAAATAATATTTGAACTTAATTCGATAAATAGTTTTCATCTTTTGATGATTTTTTACTAATAAGCTTTCATCCTTAGAGATGAATCCTTAAGATATTTAATAAGATCTGCAATCTTTACAAAGTTCTAGTCAATAGATTCAAGTAAAAGAATATAAAAATATATAAAAAAAACAATAATATTAAATCAACTATATGATATCGTCTTTCCTTTGAAAAATATAATATTTTAAAAATAAATATTTTTTTATTAATAAACTTTCATCTCCAAGATATTTAATGAGATTTGTAATTTTTTATAAACTGTTTTATTTTTTTTTTTACATTTACTTTCTTGTTCTCTTTGTCGAGTGGATGCTGAAATATGATTACATATGCGAAATATCATTAAACTAAACAAATTTATTTTATCAATAAATCAACTGTTGCATCATAATTATTTAAAACAGCATATTTATTAATAGCCCATCTCAAATAGTTTTAATTGCATTGTCATCTCAAATGGTATACTATTAACATCAAGTAGTAGAAAAAAAAATTCATTAGATTTGGCAATGAACAAAGAATTGAATGTTGACGGTAGAATTACAAATTCTTGAGCCAACATAAGCATGGTAGGAAGCAGAATCTAGATCCGATTGACCCAACCAACCACATCAATTTTAATTTACCAATCAAATCATAGGCTCGTAAGAATAGGACATTGGTTCTAACGTTGCTTGTCCCACCCAAAGGCCCTTGTTTTACGAGTATTACTTCACCTTCAGACTTCCAACACACTTTAAGGTTCCTCATCTCTGCTCCTTTATCCATTTAGTTATATAAAATGACTGTAACCACTTTTTACATGCGCGTGGGAGAGACATGGCTTGGTGTCGACATTGGAAAACAGATCCACCTCTAATAAATTATCTATACATGAGTTGGGAAATAGTAAAGTTCGACCAACTCGGTTGTCATGTTAATACTATTCTAACCCTATAAACGAGGAGTGACGATAAAAGTCAAATACACTTTTACTCTTTATTTTTGTACTTTCATTCTCATCACTGATTTGGATATATTCTACCTTGAACGTAGGAGGCTCGATGTCCCCGCTACCCCACAAGTATAGTGCACTCATCTGTACATCCACATCCGATTCAGCTAGCTCGATAAGGTTCACCTTGGTATTTTTGAAAAATTTACAACCTATTTTATTTAAGGAATAAACCAAATCAATCTCAGTCCTCCACTTCGGGGCAGAGATCCAAACCTGACCTTATCATATGTTTATCTTGTGTTTCCCAACCCCATTGCAGTTCATTGCAAATTGATACCTCTAAACTTCAACTAATATTTCCATAAATTGATGAATAGTCATGTTCAATGTCCTCCATTGCCACTCACCCATGTACACCAATTCCAAGTTGGTCAACAGAGAAATCGTTTTTATTCTTTTAACATAAAAATCTATTATAGAAGAAAAGAAGTGCACTAAGCATCATTTTCTTGCTCATACGAGAAAGTTGTGGTTGTTTTTTAGTAATCTAGACTCACCTACATCTTGCCAAAGAACGCCCGACAATACCATATCCCAGGATTAATATAAGCAAAACAAACAATTGAAGGAATAGAAATTGACTCAGAAGCAATAAAAGACGTGTGCGTTGAATGGGAATTTACCGACACAGGTCGTCTTCGTGGTCAAAGGAAAATACCACCACAAGCTACTCATTTTGGCGAAGACAAGCTATTGATAAGGGAGGGGTGTGGCGTAGATATGTCATGCACATCTCACACCAAACATGATTACCAAAACGACACATGTGATGACGAGGATGATTAATCATGTTAAAATCATCCTCTCTCTCTCTCTCTCTCTGAGTGTCTGTCATTGGTATCAGCAACATATTACATCTTTTATATGACCTACGATGACCTACGACGATTCGTTGAGGAGTTGTTGGCCTTTGCCTAACGCACCCATACACACAAAAGAAGAAAAAGGTACAGTAAAAGAAAAGACTTGGCATCTCAGCAACCGAGTAGCTGACACATCCTTTCCTCTGCTGGTCAATGTCAGCAGAAGTCCAGCGTGGCATCGTCAGACCAAATGGCTGACGAAGAATCCTCCGTACCCCAGATGAAGCTCCGAGATAGTGTTTAGGATTCTCGAGTGGCATGCCTTATAGTCGGGTGCTTGCATGCATTTGTGTATGGGCTATCCCTTTTCATTTGCTAATCGAGTGTTTTGTTTTGCTTTGTTTCGTTATACTTACATGATTTCGCTTTTTGTAACAGGGAGATTAATCATCGGCGAGCATGCTACAATCGTATGGCTTCGACAAAACTATTAGACTCCCTTGATGTGTAGGTGTCATAAGAATAATACTCTATCAAGTAAAATCAGCTAAGTTTGTATAGATGGATCGTATCGGGGCAAACATGAAGGCATCGGCAATGATAGGCTTATAAGGATGCAAACAATCAAAAAATACTGAGCAATGTAATTATGGGGCCAATTTGAATGAATCAAATAGGTTGCTTACCTTCTCCTTGAGTAATGGATTGCTTCTTCCGTCCGGCCTGCTTCTATTAATGGGTTGGTGAGATGCCTGCACAGTAAATGCACGTCTGGAAGCAAACCGAAGGTGCAATTTGCTTTTCCAAATTCTAATTGAAAGAAGTAATGCCATAGTTTGAGAGTGAACTAATTCACAAAACCAAAGTTGAATTAGCAAGTCTAAAGATGAACAAAAAGTAGGGAAATAAGCTATACTTACAAAGCTTATAATGCCACAAGGGGAATGAATAGACAGTCTTAAAAGAAGGGCCACATTTTAGCACAATACTAAGTTTTTTGCCTAATTCAAACCAGTTTACAACAAACAACATACTGCTGTGATCGCAAAAAAAAAAAATGTCCACAAGTTATAAACTGTCCATCATCATGTCACTCGCCTATCTGTATGACAGGCTTCAGATATAATTTCTGAACTCCTCATGCTAAATATGCTCTAAATTAGGAGTAAAGCAATTTGACCAATATCTAATATAAAGTGATGCATCAATACAATGTAGCTACCAGGCATCACAAAATAACAAGTTAAACAATGGCATAGTTAGTAGCTAAACTGAGCATGGGATCACAAGAACCATGTTATGATTTGTAATTTAACTACAGAACAACATCGAACTGCATTTTTGAAGTGGAAGAAAGAAATAACATATTTCAAGGCAGATTCTCATTCACTTCAGTATATTTTGCAATTATTTTTCAGAGGAACACATGGAAATCCTCAAAACCAAACTAGCTCAAAAAGAGAGCATTTTTTAGAATAAGAAAACAACTACTACATAGGTAAGCCAGTATGCTTACACTCTTTTCTTTACAGGAAATAATGGAGGGCCGGTGTCCACCTAGACATATTAATTACCTGGTAAAGTTCAAGGGCAGTATCTCCACAAGGATAGGCTAAAGCCCAATCATGGTCAGTTATGTAAATTCTTTCACAACTAAGAAGTCCACAAGCTCAACAGCTAAAAGGATAGGGGTCTTAATCCACTAAACTATGCAGTGGAAGTTTTACATGAAAAGGCCTGTGACATCTGATATCCTTTTGGCGCAGAAGGAAAATTCTATCATTATTGACTCATTCTATAAACTTATAAATGAAAACTTCCATCTTCTTTAATTTTGCAATATGTATTACAAGATCAACGGAAATAAGCATTGTTCACCTTTTTTTTTCCAAAATGAAAAGTAAATTTATTTAAGAATCCAAAACTCTACAAAAGGATCCATGCAGTTCCAAGTTCAAAAAGTATTGTTCACCTTCAACCCATTAATATGCCTAATTAAAAGAGGAAATGGCTATATTTTGTATGATCATAATAATCATGCCCTTATTTTCTGATTTTTTTTACTGTATTAAGAGAAATACCACCAAGTCCTAGTAGATCATGGTTCACTATATAATAGCTTCAGGGCAGTCTCAATTGTGGTAAACACCAATTGGGCTGTAGGCCATGGGTAAAACCAAGTCAATTGTTGTCCACAAGACTTAACCATGCAACCTCAAGTGTTTTTAACATGCTTCCAGTCTTATTATATACACTACCTCAGCTGTGACATGATCTGCAAATTTTCATCATCAAACAACACAAGGATGAATGCCACATCTGCTAGATATTAGACACCCATCCAGAATGGAGCATAATGTGTTGTCCACTTACCAAGTCTGACTAACGAGATTCATATACTTAAAAACCACACCTTCGACTAAGTCATTGACCAATTTATGCCCAATTACTAATAGGTAAAGAACTTTGTGCTTATTCAATCAAGTTGAACATGAAAATAACACAACAGAATACCTAATTTACATTGACAAGAGTTAATGTGCTATGGTTGACAATGGAGGGATTCTAAAGAATCTAAACACTTGCACAAGCTTGAAAAATATAGTGAAAAGAATGACTAAAGATAACAATTGCATACACATCAAAGACTGACTTAAGTAATAAATTTCAATAGAATGCTGACTGTAAATAGAGCTTCTACAATCATCAACTGGTCATCCAACAACAACTTCCATGGTGTCATACGACCATCTAACTATTCAAACAGACAATCCATACCAAGATAAACTACAAGCCTAATGACGACTAGCGATCAATCAA